TTCAGGTCCACGTGGCGGGGGTGAGGTGGTGCTCACTCCTCACCCCCGCCACGTGGACCCAAGGGATAAACCATCAACCCTGCTCAACGGTCAGCTGTCCTGGCGGGGTCACCCCCTTTAGGACAGTGGGAGGGTTAGCAAATGTGGCGCCTTTAGCTTATTAACACATTTTTCAGTTTTCCTTTGTCTCGTTTTAAAGTTGAACTCAGTTTTACAGAGAGTCACCAAACCTCTCACGTACATTCCTTCTAACTGAAGTTTAAGGAAAAACACAAATATTGAATTAATCTGAGGGATTTGGTTTCTTTACCAGTGTAGCCAGGCTCACAGGCACACTCGTAGCCATTGATCTTGTCGATGCAGGTCCCATAGTCACAGGGGTTGCTTTTGCAGTCATCAATGTTGACTTCGCAGTTGATTCCTGGGAAAAATCGTTTCAGTTAAACGTATTTTCAAGCATCTGCTTGTACTTTCCTTGTGTGCCGTTTACCTGTGGTACCCTTGGGGCAGCTGCAGATGTAGGCGTTCTCTCGGTCCTGACAGGTGCCTCCGTTCCTGCAAGGCTGGCTCAGACACTCGTTGATGTTAGTCTCACACAGCCTGCCGGTGAAGCCGGGGTTACAGTGGCAGCTGAACGAGGCGAGACCATCGATGCAGGAGCCGTAGTGGCACGGGTCAGAGTCGCACTCGTTGATGCCCATCTCACAGTGTCTCCCAGTGTAGCCTAAAGGGAAACACTCATTTTACGCCCTGTTTTGTCCTGACGAAGGCGTTTCTGTTCATATCGACGTTTGCGTACCCTCAGTTGCACTCGCAGGTGTACTTGTTTGGTCCATCTGTGCATTTGGCGCCATTTTTCGCACGGCGTGCTGGCACACTCATCAGTGTCTATCTGGCAAAAGTTCCTGTGAACCCTGAAAAAAGCAGCAAGTTTGTGTTGTGAGGTATGTTGTGTGTGTTTGTGTGAGGTGTGTGTGTGTGTAAACGCGGCTACTTTGTTCCCAGCACGTTTTAAGCTTTCCCACTAACCCTAACCAGCTTTCCCACTAACCCTAACCAGCTTTCCCACTAACCCTAACCAGCTTTCCCACTAACCCTAACCAGCTTTCCCACTAACCCTAACCAGCTTTCCCACTAACCCTAACCAGCTTTCCCACTAACACCCCCCTAACCAGCTTTCCCACTAACCCTAACCAGCTTCCCACTAACCCTAACCAGCTTTCCCCACTACAACCCTGGACCCTTCTCGTACCCCATCACAGAATCTGCATGCTATGAACAACGGAGCGGCGCTACGAGCTCCCCCCGCTGCTCTCCCTTTCTCTTCTTCTCAACAATTCTTTTAAAAGGGGGGAGAGAGACGACAGTAGGGGAACAAGTTCGGTTTAAATGGGGGGGGGGGGGGGGGGGGGGGAGCTGAGGCCTCCTGACAGAAGGGTGAGAAACAACGATGGGCTTGTCTCCTCCATGCAGAACCAAACTCTTGTGCGTTGCCTTCTTTGTCCCCCCCCCCCCCCCCCAAAAAATAACTTTTTTCATCACAATGTGCATTCTCCTGCGTTGGTTCGACCCCCCTTCTCGCTCACCCCCTCCGCTGCTTGCCCGCCTCCAAACGGAGCCAGCGTGACCTCTGACCCTGCCCTATTCAAACTCTTGTTCACTCCATTCCTTCTTTCCTGGAGTTATTCTCGTCTCCGATATTCCTGTCTCCCTCTGTGACGGCGCAAGGACTAATAAGTTGGATGTCGACTGATGAAGAGATAATCCCCCCCCCCCCCCCCCCCCCCATTACAAGATCACAGCACAAACAGGTGTGGTGATCTGAGAGCGACATTCCCTGCTGTAGATAATCCCATCAGGAAGTTCTTGTGTGGAAGACAGTGAGCTGATTTTTCCCCGACGGACGCCGTTTGATGATTTGGCTACAAGGAGATTAGTCAAGTCACAACAGTTAAATGCAACAACCTTTAACCCTTGGAGGTTCCTTAAAAACGCTAGACGGGGGACCTTCATGCAAAAAAAATGCATTTTAGCAAAATGTATAATAAAAATGATAAAACATTTAAAGAGTCCATTTTTTTACACAGATTCTTAGCTTAGCTTAGCATTTTATTTGTCGTAAACTTACCCAAAAACACTGGAGCAAAAAATAAAAGGAATTGCATCCACACAGCCAAAGTAAACAAACAAAATAAAACATGGCCGCCTGTGCAAAAACACGCACCTCTAAGGGTTCAGCTGCAGTAATTCTGCTAGTATTTGAACAAGTTAGCTTAAACTGTATGATTTGATTTGTAAATTGCATTTATTTACAGACACATCAGTCAAAATGCATGTGCAGCTAGAAGAGAGCAAGTTTAACGTTGCTTCACACCAACTACAGCGGACAAAACACCTTTTGACGTGAAACCTCAAAGACTTTAAAAGATGTCCTTTTAAAGCAGATGCCCGCCATGCATGCGTGCACCAAAGGGGAAGCGAGCGTGCACGGACACACACA